ACCGCTCTTAACCACTATACCACACTGGCTCTCACACAGGGAAAATGATAGCTTTGTTTTCTTTTCAGCAGCCTTTGGAGGTAAATCCATCCTTTCTGTTGAAAACAGCTAGTACATAATAGGTGTTAAAGACATACACCGGGTCTCTTAAAATGCCTTTCTTTCTAGGTGTCCAGTCAGAAGTCCGGCTGGTTGAGTCTGGAGGGGATGTGAAAAGGCCTGGGGAGTCCCTCCGCCTCTCCTGTTGAGCCTCTGGGTTCACCTTCAGCAGCAAATGGATGCACTGGGGAAGACAGGCTCGGGGAAAGGGCATGGAATGGGTTGCAAGTATAAATGCAGGTTCATCTGACATTCGCTACTTGGATAAAGTGAAGGGACGATTCACCATCTCCAGGGATAATTCCAACAGCCTCCTCTATCTGCAAATGAACAGCCTTAAACCTGAGGACACGGCTGTGTATTACTGTGGAGCAGAGATACACACTGAGAGGAAGTGAATCTGAACCCAGGCAAAAACCTTCCTTTGCCTGCAGCTGCCCTCTGAATTGATTCAGAATCAAGAAATTGAATAATAGTATTCAGATAATTCAGACTGATACATTTCTGTGCACGTCACAAAGAACACACAAAGGGAGAGTCATGGTGCAAAGAACTAAAAATGTCATCAACCACAACTAACATAAAATGGTGCTTGAAGTCCCATTGGTGATTTTATATGTAATCATTTCCCCATATATTCCTCAGACATTTCCATGTGAAACAACTTTGTATGGGCCCCTTGAGCCCCGGATGCCTTGAAAGACATCTCTCTAGTTCTTCAGCCCATGAGTAATAATTCAGGGAGGAGGAATCCATGACACAAATGACTTCTCTCCTAATCTAGGTGTCCTATAGATTGAAGGTATTAAAATAAAACTGTCATAGATAGTGATTATGGAATACACGAGGAACCATAATGTGGAAACAGGACATGTGCAGTATGATGTGTGCCTAGTTCAACCTTTGTATGCCTATAATGCCTAGTTTAACCGATATGCCTATAGTGATATTTGAGCGGAGAAAAATACTTCATATTTTAAAGTGTGACTCTACTGTCTGGTTCATCTACACCTAGAGCTGGAAACCCTGCAGTGCTGAACCTTGGGATCTCAAATTTCAGCAGCACCCTGTGCGATGCCAAAATCTGAAACCCCCACCTCTCATGCTCCATACTAAGTCATAGTTATGGCACCCCAAGACTCCATGTCTTGCGCAACCAAACATGTCAAGTTCCCTTGAATCCACCTCTGACCCCTGGAATTTTTTGCTGCTCTGAGATTGGGATGGTGTGCAACAAAATTGTCAGGCATGAGTTTGACACCAAACAAACACAGGTGCCCTCTCTTGCTTAAGATTGGTAAAATAACACTTGGGATTGGTAAATTAACACTTGTTTTGCTAAATGTAAGAATCCCTGACAACTTCTGTTTAAAAAGCTCCAATGAAGGAGAGTCTGATTTCTGAAACCTCCTAGTTAAAGTGTAATTCTAGCTTCTATCCCCTTTCTTATTATAGTCTTAGAACACATCTTCTGGCATCACTGAAGGAAAATTCATAAATCTCTATCCTATCACATATTAACCATCTTATCACAATACAAGACTTCAGAACGCCCTACCACCACCACCTCCTCCTCCTCGTCTCCCCAAGGGGGCAGTCATGGTGCGAAGAACAGAAAATGCAATCGGCCATGACCGAATTAAATTGGTGCTTTAAGTACAGTTGGTGTCTAATTCTGGGTGCCCTATAGCCTGAAGACATCAAAAGCAACCTAAATGGTGACTGACCCATGGGCATGGGCTTATGACATTTTCTTGTGTGACCGATGGAGATTGTTCTGATTGAAAAGCATACAGTTTACCCCCAGTTTTACCTTTGGGGATGAAAATACTTCTGTTTGCTATTTATGTGAATGAAGCATCCGGTTCATGTAGACCAGGGATCATCAACTATTCTGGACCCGTGGACATATGTGCCACCCAGAAAAAATATCTCATGGGCAGCACACAGAAACACCACAGTCAACCACACACCACAAACTATTATCTTGGCTACAATCAAGTGCTACCTTCAAGCCTAATTTCAATGGGGGAAGTGGAATATATGGAAAGCAAGGAAGGTTGCCACACTGCCACCCTCTGATGTAAACACAGCTTTCCTATTTCCTATTTCAAACATGAGAAGGGCAGCAACAAGATTCTATGAGAATGCCTTGTCATTTCCTCCAATATTCTACCTAGGCAGTATATCAATATCTAAGCTGTATATCTATAGCCCCTGTGCGGAAAACCTTTGTATCAACTGCATACACCACAGCGAACTATTGAGTTGCCTAAAACAAGTGTTTATTTATTGAAACCTAATTTCAGCTGAGGTGGGTCTGGGAGGTGTGCTTTGCAGGGAATGGCTCTGTGTGTAAACAGGTAACCGTGGGCAGGCCAGAAACAAGGGACCCTGAGAGGGCCTTGTCTTTTGCTCTGATTCTTTACTTCAAGTCAGGATACCTATAAAAAAAACTTACAAAAATATTTTTGCCTAATGGTTAATCTAAGCTTTCCCTTCTGCTGCTTCACTTGAACGTGACATTCCGGCACAATTCCTTCCTGCAACAATATTTTTGCTTAATGGTCTTTCTAAGCTTTCCCTTCTGCTGCTTCACTTGAACATGCTATTCCGGCACAATTTGTCCCTGCAACAATGTCAAGAAATTGTTCACCGGGATTACATGGCATGCTCAAGAGGACTTTTTCCCCCTCAAATGTTTGTGTATTCAGTTTATGCTTAGAAAGATATATATTTCCACCCTTGTTAAGAAGGGAAGTTGTAAATTAACGAGGAAGCAGACTTGTTCAAAGACTAGAATATGCCTACAGTCGGAGACTGCCTGAAGTCTCTGTTGCTGCTTTTCTCCTGCTGGGTATGCAAATTATCAGAGAGAGAGACACCTATTTAGGATGGTCAGACCCCCTCCCTGCAGCAGTGACCCTGAATACCTGAGCCCACTTTTCACTCAGCTCTCTAGCAATAGATAAGGAAGATGATACTTTTGCTACAACTTGTTTTATTTTCTGCAGCTCTTGGAGGTAAATTCATTCGTTCTCAAATCAAGAAGCATGGGACACTCTGAGTGTAATAACATGCAGCGGTTATGCTAAAATGCCTTTCTTTTTAGGTGCCCAGTCTGGAGTCCTGCTGGTTGAGTCTGGAGGGGATGTCAAGAGACCTGGGGAGTCCCTCCACCTCTCCTGTCAAGCCTCCGGGTTCACCTTCAGCAGCTACTACATGGAGTGGGTGAGGCAGGCTCCTGGAAAGGGACTGGATTGGGTGGGAGACATAAGTATAGATCCATCTGCCAAACGCTACTCGGATAAAGTCAAGGGACGGTTCACCATCTCCAGGGACAATTCCAACAGCCTCCTCTATCTGCAAATGAACAACCTGAAACCAGAGGACACAGCTGTGTATTACTGTGCAAGACACAGTGAGAGGAAGTGAATCTGCAGCCAAGCAAAAACCCTCCTTTGCCCACAGACACTCTCTGAGTTTTTTTGTGCCCTTTAGCATGCCAGCACTTCCCCACCTGTTTGTTATTTAAGTCTCTGAGGCCAAAGACATATTTAAGGTCAGGATTTTACATGGCTTAAACCAGCATATTGTGGTTTGATTTTTGCTTCTATCCCTCTTTTAGATGAATTATATAACACACAGGATGCTCACTGATTATTATTATTATTATTATTATTATTATTATTATTATTATTATTTTAAGTTAGGGTCTTTTTATTGCTCAAAGAGGACCAAAGAGGATGCCTTGACATGTAAATAGGAAATGTTTCTGAACATGCATATATATGCAGTCATGAGACCATGTTTAGTGACACCCCCATGTAAACACAGCTTTTATATTTCTCATTTGCCTATTAGAAAGACAGGATTCCCCATGCTTTGAGAAGAGGAAGAACAAGGAGTTATGAGAATGTTGTGTCATGTGCTCTACATTAACATGGGATTCTTATACATATGCTTTTTGTGTTGTTGTTTTTTTTATTTATTTAAAGCCTTTAAGAGAGGGTATTCCACAAACATTTCATTTCTTTGCTGAGCTGTGATCTACAGTGTTTCTTCATACTTAATCTAAATTTTCTTCCACTTCATTTGACCATTTCACAGTGAGGCCAAAGTCTCCTCCACAGCCACTGTGACCAGTCAAGACCTCTGACGTACTTAATGTTTTAACTATTTATTTTTTATTTTAAGTTGTATTTTAATCTTGTGAACCATCCTGAGGTTTTATGATGGAAAGTGAGATATAAGTATAATAAAATCACCATCATCTCTCGAACTTCAAAATGGCTACCCCTAGGATGAAAGGCACTGGAGTTCCAAAGCCTTTCATCCTTGCTGAGGAAGCATTTTTTAAAAAGACTCTTGATGTGATTTCATGACGGGAGAAAAATAAGAAAGGTGTTGCATTTGGGAGTGTGGTGGGCATTCGAGGGATGAATGAAGGGAGGATGAAAATAATAATAATAATAATAATAATAATAATAATAATAATGTCAGTCTATAGACTGATACACCACAACCAGCAGTTTTAAAGCATAAAAGAAAGAAAAAATCATACCCAGTGTATTAATTTCTTCCAAAACTTCCTCCAACACAAACGTCTTCGATTGAATTTTACATTCCGTTTTTGCCCCCTCCCTTAGAACTCCACTCTGTGTGCATTTGTCTGTGTGTGTTTGTGTGTGCAGGGGAGAAAGAGGAAGCCAGCAGCAAAGCCTGACCCCCCAAACTGCTTTTATCTGCCTCCTGTGCCTCACTGGGGAGGTCTCATGTAAATACCACCAGCAAGTTGGGAGTGGTTTCAGATGAAAAGCCCTGAATATAAAACCTTCACTTGCTTCCCAGCCCAGAGTCCCCTCTTTCCTGTATCTCTAGCACATTCATTCATCAACATTATGGAGTTCTTGTTGCTCTTGGTTTTTTTGGTGGCTTTTTCTAAAGGTAAAGGAAGTTCTGCAATGCTAATTTACTTTATGTAGTAATTAGATGACGTCCAATCATTCATTGCTCTCTTTTCTCTTTCCAAGGGGTCTTCTCAGACATTCAGCTTGTATCATCTGGACCAGGAATAGCGAGACCAGGAGAGAATCTCAACCTGCTTTGTAAAGTCACAGGTTTCTCCATCTCTACTGAGTACTATTGGTGGCATTGGATCCGTCAATCACCTGGGAAAGGTCTGGAATGGATTGCAGGGATATACCCCGATGATGGAGACACAATATATGCCCCTTCCCTGAAGAGCAGAGCAAGCATTTCTTCAGATGCCTCAAAGAATGAGTTCTCCCTCCAGCTGAACTCCCTGACAGCTGCAGACTCCGCTGTGTATTTCTGTGCCCAAGGAGACACAGTGAGACAAAGCCTATTGGGCCCTGTTCAAAAAGAAGTCCTGCTTCTATAAACAAATACACTGTGAAAGTTTTGACAGAGCAATTCTACATTCCACAGATGATACGGAACAACATCCAGACTGCCTTCCTCTTCAATCTGTAACTTAATCCAGAAATGATTATACTGATGGAAACCTGCAGAAGTGACACACAATGGAAATAGACCAATGTGGATCAGTACAGCACTGTATAAAATGACTTTGCTGCAGCATTTTTTTCCTACCATCTAAAATCAATATCCAGTTTTGCAAATAGATGTTTATTTGTGTTTTGTCTGCTCATACCTCTGAGTTATGCTTAAGGCTGCTGGCGATAGACCTCAATGAGAAATGTAGACTTTTTACAAAATTGTGAATTGGTGTATTTCTTCATCATCCCATCATCCCTTGACATGGCGTGAAACCTCTTCTGCAGCACATAGGACCTGGGATACCTGGGTTCAAATCCCTAATTGTCCATGAAGCTCACTAGATGACCTTGGGTCAGTCACAGCCTCTCAGCCTGACCTACCGTACTGGGGTGTTACAGGGAATATATGAGGAGGGCGATTTAATGTATTGAATTCAAGGGAAAAGCTAGAATAAAATGCTGGAAATAAATATTATAAATTCCATGGGAATTGTGTTTATGTGCATACATAACACTTATTCCCCAACACCTACCTCTCCATTGCATAGACAGGCGGAGTCCCCAGATCCCGCGCGGTCCCCCCGTCATGTGGAATAACGACTCATGACAACGTGCTATGGGATTAAATTGGCCACAACTTTATTAAATTTCAAATGTGGGTAGACCTTGGCTCAGGCATTGGGCGTTCTCCCTCCCCAGTCCCCAGCCGGGGACCTAGGGAGCATCAGGGTTATCCAGTGTGTGTGTGGGGGGGATGGGCCGGCTCTGGAGAACATATGTTCAAGCAGAGATAGCCGCCCCCATAATGCCGCCGCCGCAGGGGAGAGCAATGACGACCTTTCGGCGTACGGTCAAAGCCTCCCTTCAGAAACCCCTTTAACGGGGAACCCCGGTATCGCTGCCGCAAAGAGGAAGATGGATTCCACCCAAGGCCTGATACCGCCAAAGTTGTGACATTTTGCTACGGGAAAGGCGAAACCTGCCAATGCAGGGAAATTCCATTCCGGCCCTTTAACAGCGACCTTAACGTAGCAGCGCCCGCATACCTGCGAAGAAAAGTTAACCTGCAAAACCTGTGAAGAAAAGTTAACCTGCAAATAAGACATTAACTGAGGGTGGGTAGGGTGGGAGAAGCTCTGGAGCCAAGTGAGGATTCCCAGGTAAGATCCTCCCTCTATTGTGTGGGCAGGTAATCCCTCCCCCTATCTGGCCTGGTCTGCTTGGCAACGCTTCCCCCAGGTGGGATTGGACAACTGACTGAGGTAGGCGGAGACCTCCAGGTATCCCACCTGAGGGAAGGCAAACCAAGCCTATGCTGTTGGAGCCGCTCCAGATCTAGGGGCTGCGTGCATCCACGCAAAGGGCGCCCCCCGTTTTAAGCGGGGAGCGGTCATTGTGGTGAGGAAAATAATCAGATATGGAAAACATATGGTTTGGCAGCTCTGTTCAGCAATGGTATATTCTGTGGTATGTTAAGAGAAGAATTAACTGAAAGAATAATAATTTTAAAAATCAATCTCTAATACTTGAAATGTGTATTAGTTGCAACTACATGTTCGGTGCTGCTTTTCTCTTCCCCATGTCACTAGACGGTATACCCACAAATCTATGCCAAATGTCATTTTGAAAATTAAGCATCTTGTCAGAAACCAAGACTCCTGGAATTATATTCCACCTCTTCCTGTTCCCCACAAGAGGGAAACGATGGTGTCAAGAACAGAAAATGCCAATGGAAGGAGGTGTGGTCCAGTCAGACAATATTCAGATCTCCTCTACTGATGCCTTTATTTTGCTTGTTTTTGTCAAGACTAAAAAAGGACTGCTTGCCAACACTTGATAATGATGGAGAGCAAACATGGTGTAGTGGTTAAGAGTGGTGGACTCGTAATCTGGTGAACCGGGTTTGCGTCCCCGCTCCTCCACATGCAGCTGCTGGGTGACCTTGGGCTAGTCACACTTCTTTGAAGTCTCTCAGCCCCACTCACCTCACAGAGTGTTTGTTGTGGGGGAGGAAGGGAAAGGAGAATGTTAGCCGCTTTGAGACTCCTTCGGGTAGTGATAAAGCGGGATACCCAATCCAAACTCTTCTTCTCTTCTTGATGCAAGTAAATTTCCTGATTCATGTAGGTAATTGTATTTGCCAAGTCACACATTATATTCATATTAATTTGCCAAGTCTCACCAGAGTTGCCCTGCCCTGAGAAAAGCAGATATGTTCACCTCCTCACTATACTCCCCCGTAAAAGGATATTTAATTTGAAGGTCCCTGTATTTCTCTTTTATAGTGTACTTTAGTAAATAAGCATACTATTTATTAAAAATATATATGTGGCAATAAGCCACCAAAGAGCTGCTTCCTCCATGTCAGTTAGGCGCTAACCCTGCCCCAGTTACAAAACCCTGAATTCCTGGGACCACTTTTCACTAAACCATCTCAAATAATTCAAGAGGGAAAATGATACTTTTGCTCCAACTTGTCTTCTTTTCAACAGCATTTGGAGGTAAATACATCTTTTCAATTAAAGAAAACAGCTTCATCTTGAGGCCTTACCCACTGTCTCGCTGATAACTGCCCCCTTCCCCCGGCAAACTGTTCTTTAGTGCTCCATTGGAGCAAACAGCCATTTGTGGTTCCTCCAAATTGCAATTTCTTCTTATCTATCACTAAAGAGGGGAAACCACTCAGACTTGTGTTTTCTAGGCACAACACTAGCAGAAGTATGGACAAGCGTCTTAAAATGCCTTTATTTCCAGGTGCTGAATCAGAAATTCAGATGGTTGAGTCGGGGGTGGGGGGTAGAACTGTACCTATTAATCTACTTGCACTTTTTGGCGTGCTTTCAAACTGCTAGGTTGGCAGGAGCTGGGACCGAGCAACGGAAGCTTACCCCATTCCGGGGATTCGAACCACCGACCTTTTGATCGGCAAGTCCAAAGCTCAGTGGTTTAGGCCGCAGTATCACCCGCGTCTCTAATCTTTATTTAGAGAAGCAATAAGACACTTTCTTTAAGAAACAAAAATTAGGCCATGCAAAACTAATGTATTTTAACTGTTTCACAACATTCACCAGCGCAAACTAGCTGTATTCTCTGGTTTGGGCAAGATATTATAGAACAACAACAATAGAGATTGAATTGATCTAAATTCAATGTTTCCCCTTGATCAACTTCTTTGACCAATTTCAAAGTAATTTTAAATGAAATGTACTTTCAGGCACATACTTCAAACCCATTACCCCTGCCCCCATTATTTATATATTTGATGGTTTCCATCTTTGAAATCACGGAGCCTGTGTGCATGAGGGGGATACATAAGCCCATCAAGGTTAAGAGCTATGCAAATTGTGCAATGGCAAATAAGTATATTTTTGCCAGGTCACCATTTGCTTCCAGTCAGACATTGTTGAATGTCTTTGATGGTGCTTTTATGTAAATTTCAGAGAGAGCTTCCTCTTTAAAGCAGTCAAACACGCTCCCTACCACTGCATACCAGGGACCACATTTTGGTCAAATCTCTCAAAGCATCAGGCAGGCAAAAATGATAGCTTTGCTTCAGCTTGTTCTCTTTTCAGCAGCTTTAGGAGGTAAATTTCTCATACCAGTTATCAAAGTTTGGTTCATTCTGGGTGTTGTTAACATGCAGAAACTTCTTAAAATCTTTCTTTCCAGGTGTCCAATCAGAGGTTCAGCTGGTGGAGTCTGGAGGAGATGTGAAAAGGCCTGGGGAGTTCCTCCGCCTCTCCTGTCGAGCCTCTGGGTTTAACTTTGGGGGCTATGGCATGCACTGGGTGAGACAGGCTCCTGCGAAGGGCCTTGAATGGGTGGCCTACATAAGCCACAATTCAGGTGCAATGTACTATCTGGATAAAGTGAAGGAAAGATTCACCATCTCCAGGGACAATTCCAACAGCCTCCTCTATCTGCAAATGAACAGCCTTAAATCGGAAGACACGGCTGTGTATTACTGTGGCAGATACACAGTGAGAGGAAGTGAATCTGAAGCCAGACAAAAACCCTCCTTTAATCAAAACAGATGAGTTGCATTCTCTGCAAGATTCCACATGAAAATATGGATATTATATCAGCTGCCAGAGATCAAAGAAACCTGTTAAGATAATTTTGTCCCATAGTCTGCCACCTTCTTTTTCCCGGTCCCCATTCACACAGAGACAGCTAGCTAGTCATGCAGCTGTACACCTGGGGCTCTTGCTAGGCAAATTATATTGATTTATTAGTGTTATTATTATGAATTTATCAGTTGCTTTATCTTTCCCATGGCAATCCAATGAGACTTACAACCCAAGAGACAAAACCCCACATAGATACATTAAAACCAAGAGTAAAGAGAAATACATTAAAAACACCTCATCCACTTCTAATAGACCACGGATAGTTAATGGGCAAAGGCCTTGTTTTGTACTGAAGTTCTCCCCCTGGGCCTGCAGGGGGATACTGTAAATAGTTTTCACTCAGGTCCACATATGCAAATAAGGGATTGAAAGTGACATTCAATGATTGGATAGTTACAGAGAGTTGTTACAGTTGCGTTGTAGTGGAGCTCTATATAAGCAGGCTGTTTAAACCCTTCAGTTCAGTTCAGTTCTGGCCTGTGAATAAACAAGAGCTGTTTAAAGAATCACTGTGTCGTCTGATATGTT